CCCCAATGTCCCCAATGTCCCCAATCCCCCCGATGTCCCCAATGTCCCCAATGTCCCCAATGTCCCCCCAATGTCCCCAATGTCCCCAATGTCCCCAGAACGGCCGCTCGGTCAGCAAGAGGGGGGTCAGCTGCCAGTTTGGCCCCGATGTCACCAAGCGCTTCCTGGAGCGGAACCACCTGGAGCTCATCATCCGCAGCCACGAGGTCAAGCCCGAGGGCTACGAGGTGGCCCACGATGGCCGCTGTGTCACCGTCTTCTCCGCCCCCAACTACTGGTGAGGGACACCGGGGGACACTTGGGGACACGGCCCTGCTCCCCTGGGTGTCGCCTGGGCCGCGTTGTCCCCGCGGTTTTGTCCCCAGATGTCCCCAAATGTCCCCAAGTGTCCCGTCCCTGGTGGTTCCTCAGCCTTGGTGGCCCATGAGGGTTGTGCTGTGATGTCCCCAGATGTCCCCAAGTGTCCCCAGGTGTCCCCAGCTGTCCCCAAGTGTCCCCAGATGTCCCCAAGTGTCCCATCCCTGGTGGTTCCTCACCCTTGGTGACCCACGGGGGTTGTGCTGTGATGTCCCCAAGTGTCCCCAAGTGTCCCCAAGTGTCCCCAATGTCCCCCAATGTCCCCAATGTCCCCTGCAGTGACCAGATGGGCAACAAGGGCTCCTACATCCACCTGCGGGGCAGCGACCTCCGCCCCGACTTCCACCAGTTCACAGCAGTGGTGAGTCTGGGGGCTCCGGGACCCCCAAAATCCAACCCGGGGACCCCAAAAACCCCCCAGGGACCCCCAAAATCCAACCCGAGGTCTCAAATTTATGGGGAGGGGTCCCAGGGTTTTTTGGGGGGGGGTCCCAGGGGTTTTTTGGAGGTCTCACCTTTATGGGGAGGGGTCCCAGGGTTTTTCTGGGGAGGGGTCTCATCCTTCTGGGAGGGGTCCCGGGGGTTTTTGGGGGGGTCCCAGGGGTTTTTTGGGGGGATTTTTAGGAGTTTAATCTTTATGGGGAGGGG